TAAATGTATTATATAACGCTAATACGAAGAAAAGAGGCTTATTAAATGCCATCGGCACAATCAGCAAAACGCTATTCGGAACCATGGATGCTGACGATGCACGACGAATAGACGAGCAACTACAGCTACTGAAAAATAATCAGCAGGTACTACAGCATGCAGCGAAGCATCAATTAAAAATATTAAATGCCACGATTGGACATATCCAAAATCTGGAACAGGCAACAGCTTACAATGAAAATTTATTATTAAACGTCACTAGAAGAATGGAGCTACAGTTAGACCAATACACACAGCGAGAAGATCTAGACGAACATTTACAAATACTTACTGCCATACTGACAGACTCAACTGCAGACATAGATAAGACGCTAGACTTCTTAGCTTATTCAAAAGACGGAATAGTTCCTACCCGTCTATTACCATTAGAAAATATAATAATGGAATTGAGGGAAGCCGCGACACAATTAACCAAAGGGTTGCACTTTCCCTTTCAAATAAAATTAGAAAATTGGGATACGATCCATAAATATGTAGCGATAAACGCGATAATAATAAACAATGTTATATTTACTACTTTAAAGTTCCCAATAATAGCGTATCCTACGTATAAGATAATAAAAGTAATTCCATTTCCTATCCATGAACAGGAAAATATATTTAAATTTATTAAAATAATCCATCCGATTATAGCGTTAGATAAAGAAAATAATCATTATACTCTATTACGCGAAAACGAATTAAATAAATGTATACGCGATATTACTACTTATACGTGCGAAAGAAACTTTCCAATATATAATATAAAATCAAACGCGCCATGCGAGGTGCTAGTTTATATTAACACGCCAGGACAACTCCAAAATTGCGAGTATGGACGAGTCCTCTCGAGTACAACGTTATGGATAGCGCCGTTAGAAGAAAATACATGGTTGTATTCATCCAAAGAAGGTCAAGAATGTATAATTTCTTGTAATGATAAAAAAGACGAGAAAATCGAAATAAATGCAACTGGTAAAATTCAATTAACAGGAAATTGTAAATTAACTACATCAGAAATCATTTTGAGGACGAAAACACAATTAGAGACGCGTTATATTCAAACGAACGTACCAGAGTTCAATTTAACTTTAAATAAAGAACAAGAAACTACATTCGATCTTCCAAAACGTACTCCTTTAAGACATATAATTAAGGATACGGAAGAATTAACGAAATTAAGTTTAGAAACAAGCGAAATACAGGAATATTTAAAAGGCGACAATATTTTATCCAATTATAGATATATATAGTATATCCAATCGGATCAGGCGTACTGATAATAGCTCTAGTAAGCGGAATAATAGTAGGTATTTTATGGCTAATAAAAAATAAGAATAAAAGAAAGAAAATAGAAAAACAGGAGGAAGAAATACAGCGCCGCGTTAACGACGCTATGTTATATTAAATAAAAGAAACGATTGTAAAATAAATTGTAATCCGGGAACATAGATATGTACAACGGAAATTCGTAACCTCATTTCCTTTTCCCAAAGGGGGAGGAATGTCACGAGTGCTAAATTGCATAAGTGACAATTGCGCCATAACTGAGAATAACGAATACGAGAAATAAGAATAATATAAATTAATAATATAAATGAATCGCGAACGCAACTCGATTGCGCGATCACGCCCTCGACCGATTACCGGAACGCGCGGCGAAATAAGTTTAATAATAAGTTTAATATAATATTAAAACCGCGAGCGCGACGCGATTACGCCCTCGACCGATTAACGGAACGCTGACGAGAAGCGCCGAATATGAAGATCAGAGACCTCAATAATTCAAATAAATATGAGAAGACCGATGCAGAGTGGAGTCAGTAATTTTATCAAAGTGTAGCGCGTCACTCTGCTCGAATACGATCTTAAAGTTATATCGCGACACGCGTAGTGTAAGTGATTTATGTGAAATAAATACTTGTGAATAATTGTGATTATTTAATAAAGTTTATTTGAAGTTAAAAATAATATAAAAGGAAAGTGATTGATAATTTATTTGCTGCTCCCGAATCCTTGGTGGATCCCGAATCCTGTGCCAACACTGGCGGCACAACATAGCGTTATATGTATCTTATAGTACTTAATTCTTATATATGTTAAAAATAATTACATGTATGTGAAGGAATAAATAAAGAAGAAAACAATGATATTCTTATACTTTTATATATATTTTTTTATATGAATAAAAAAAAATTAATTCAAACGACATCTTGTTTATTTATCCACGAATTGTGCGATCCATCGAATCCCAGCCACTTGACATACACCTTGTCTCCTTTCTTACGCAACACCTTTTCAACTAGATATACTTCGGGATTAGCGACACGATGTAACTCGTACTCGTAGAATCCTCCTGCAACTGGTTTTCCGCGGTAATCTTCCAGAAGATACGTCACGGGATTAGTTTTCTATACTTTGACAATTCGAAACACCTCCGTGGTCCAATTTGGTGTGTAACTTTTCTCAAAGATCGTCTTGAATTTGCTCACGCGTACAGCGTCGCCCACTTTCAATTTTGCAGGACCAGCGATCTTTATCGTGCTGTACACCGTGGTTGTGTTCCGAAAGCTGTGTCAAAAATTTTGTTTTTAGTTATAAGATTGGTAACGCTGTAACTAACATAGCTGTGTTCCGTATGGTACGTTTGGTACGTAGTTTGCACTTTGCATCGGCTCTCTTGTCTTTTTCAGGAAGGAGGTTAGTTTTTACTTTTATAATACATAATTGATTATATATAATATAATAATGTGTATATTATATATATCGTATATTTATTATATATACATATATGTATCCTATATTCAGTCATACGATATGTAGAATCAGAATGTTATACATTCACAAAGAATTATGTATTCAATACTAAGTTTGACCGCTTTAACCGAATATAGATACACCTTATTTAAAATATTATTTAATAACAAAAATGTTGATCTTACTTTGAAATTTAGAAAAATACCAAAGATGAACTCCAAAGAAATAAATAATGCCAAAAGCCGTAAGTTTTTATTATACAAAGGTCGATAATAATAAATTTTGTCCTATAAAAGTACAATATAGTCTTGTGCAAAATAATGTGAATAAAAAGTAATTTCTTAATTTATATACATTTATAAGGATAAATTTTATTATGTACCAATGCATACTAACGCATTAAATCCAATTTAATTTATACAAGTATAATTACAAAATATAAATGATGATAATTTACAATACTACTTATGCTTTCATTACTTATATTGATGCAATTCTTAGATTATATCCTTAATAAGAATTTGAATGGTTAAATTTAATTGTAGATGGAAAGTATATAGACATAGAACTCTCTTCAATCAAAAGATAAGGAGAATTTAAAAAATAATAATTACGAACTAGTAAAATCTTTAATATTATGTGACGGAGTATCAAATTATACTTTGTATGTATCTCCTGAAGTTCATCAACATGCTGTCAGTGGTAAATACAATTTCTATATTCTTTTTCACAAACATATTTGAAGAATTTAAGTAATATTTTTTTAGCATGACACTTGTGTGAGGTTCTAATTATTGAAATAAGCGAATCTATAATATTAGTATACTTACAATTTCATTAGTCATTACCTAATACATTTGCTCAATTTGTAATTTTCACCGCGTCTTAAAATAGGCAATCGATCCCCAGGGTAAAAGAATGTTTTAAATTATTTTAATAAACGTTTTAATAAATTTTTTAAATTTGTTTTTCTATGATAGATTTGAGTTTTGCAACAACTCTTTTGAATCAACACAAAGCTACATTAATGAAACAAGCATCATGTGCTTTAAGTACAAATGAAACAAATGGTCTCCAAGAGAATTTTACTTTCACTGACAAAGAAAATTATACTCTTGACGGTAATTTATGTAAGTTGATATTACAGTATTTTATATTTATTTAAATTACTTTATGTATAATAAAAATATTGAAAAATTAATTAATAATATAATTGAATTATAGACTCTTATATGTTTCAAAAACAATACAAAAAATTAAGTAAATACAAAGGCTATTAAGAGTCAACGCTGTTAGCAGTGCGTAAAAATTTAATCTTAAAATCTATAACATAGATATTATGTCGAACGTTTCGATCCTACGTTTCGGATCATCATCAGCGACAATACAATATAAAATTAAACATTACTCAGAGTTGCAAACAATGATGTTGTTCCGCAGTATGTAATATACAACCAATCTGAGGCAAGACTATCACTTCTTCAGGTGAAAGTATGTACATTAGTTCGAATAATTGAGTATGTCTGTGAATTATATAATCAAGAATTATAAATTACATTAAAAAATTTTTTTTAAAAATTATAAAATTTGATAAAACAGTTAAAATTAAATACTCAATAAGCTTACCTCAAGTTGGTCGACAAAAGACATAAAATCAATTATATCACAGAAATCGCATTGATCAAATTTCATCGTCAATATGTCTGTATATGACGATGTACAACGATATAATGTAACTTTATTATATCGTTGTACATCGTCATATACAGACATATTGACGATGAAATTTGATCAATGCGATTTCTGTGATATAATTGATTTTATGTCTTTTGTCGACCAACTTGAGACATACTCAATTGTACATACATAATGTACATACTTTCACCTGAACAAGTGATAGTCTTGCCTCAGATTGGTTATATATTACATACTGCGGAACAACATCATTGTTTGCAACTCTGAGTAATGTTTAATTTTATATTGTATTGTCGCTGATGATGATCCGAAACGTAGGATCGAAACGTTCGACATAATATCTATGTTATAGATTTTAAGATTAAATTTTTACGCACTGCTAACAGCGTTGACTCTTAATAGCCTTTGTATTTACTTAATTTTTTGTATTGTTTTT